CGGGTGCTTTTTTCACTTTTAACTCGACATCAATGGTGCACTTCCAGGGCTCCCTCGTTATGAACATCTCGACCACAGCCTCGGATTCCTGTAGCAGTCCAGCCCTGGCCAACAACTGTTTTAGCTCATCCGGACCCTTTTTCATTAACTCGTCCGCAATCTCCTTGATCATTTGTTGGCTTTTATTCTCATATTTTAGAATTTTCTATTTGTGGATAATGGTCACTGGTTATAATTATAGTTTACAAGAGTACCTTTAATATAAAAATATAATTTTGCTTACTTTGATTTTATCTAATAATTCATCTCCGTTAGTAGTGGTAATCAAACCAAGGTTAGTTTTATTAATTAACGTATGAATCATATCGTAGACAGTATTATCGGCTGAGTTGTCCGTTTGATTCCGTAGTATATTATTGGTTGCATTGGTTTGTAATACAAGTGGTGTCTCATAGGACTCGACTGCCGTTGAAGTATTGAATTATAGTTTTCAAGAGTACCTTTAATAAATTTATAATAATATAATTTTGCTTACTTTTATTTTATCTAATAATTCATCTCCGTTAGTAGTGGTAATCAAACCAAGGTTAATTTTATTAATTAACGTATGAATCATATCGTAGACAATATTATCGGCTGAGTTGTCCGTTTGATTCCGTAGTATATTATTGGTTGCATTGGTTTGTAATACAAGTGGTGTCTCATAGGACTCGACTGCCGTTGAAGTATTAGCTAATGGTTGGGGTTGTTGTTGAGGAAGAGCTTCGTTTGTATACATATATTCCAGTCCCTGACCTACTGTTCCTTCATTAGTTGGCAACTCGAGATCAACTAAGTCTTGCAAAACAGGGTATTCTATATTATTATCCGTATTAATACTATTGGTAATCAAAGGACTGGAAGTACTTTCAATCGAGTGGACTGAAGTGGATGTCCCGTAACTTGGCGTTAGGGGTTCAGTATATGGCCCTCCAGTCTGTGCACCCGATGTATGTGTTAGGTTTGGTTGACCCGTTGAATTCGCGCCAAAATTGTAACCATTGTTTGCACTTGAATTGGGTTGATATTGGCCACAATAAACTGGTTGTATATTACCAGTATTCATTGGTGGTGCGGATGTACAATTTGTCGTTTGATAACCCTGGTCATTACACTCTGACCCCTGAGTTGCCTCGAATTCATGATTCGTAACAGTATAGAGTGGTTGTGGGAATGGTTGTGTCTGGTGTCTGTTAAAACTAGTATTAGTCCCTGAGTGACCCTGACCATTCCCAAAACCCAGCATGTTGTTAAACCGCTGCATTATACCAAACCCCGACGTGTAGGTCGTGTTATTTCTTTGACGTTTGTTACCACTGATGGCGCCCTGTGTTTGGAATAATTTANACGTTTGTTACCACTGATGGCGCCCTGTGTTTGGAATAATTTATTTATTATAGTCTCAATCAAACTGACCTAGCTTACGAGTTTCAATCCTATTCTATAGCACTTGTGTAGCTTACAGGCCGGGCACACACTTATGTCACAATTTTCCAGAGCGTTTGCACCCATTTCCCCTTTTCGACACGATTTCTATTATTATAATAAATTAATTATAAGTACATTTCAATTATAATTATAACATTGCATTTTACAGAATATTATCAAATATTTAAAAAATTAATATAATGCATTGATGTATCGATATAAATAAATACCTAGTTTAACATTATAATATGCAATAGAATTTACCTTTAATTTGGCATTTTTACAAAACCATTGTCTGTCGGGCTCACAAGTGAATATACCACTGTTTTTGGGGACATAATTCTCACCTATTTATACAAAATTATTAATTGTTAAACGAATATAATATAATTTTTACAGATATATTTTAGCAAATATAAATATACAGTACCAAGTTTAAGATCCGGGTGGTCCCAGTTATTTATACCACAAACATAACATTCACGGTATTCTGTCATCACTTGCTATTGAAATACAATATTTTAAAATGTTTTATACTATTAACACTGATATTTTATTGAGACAATGTAAATATATTTATATTGAGATAAAATATGTTCATAATTATAAAATT